CCCCCCCCCCTCCCCCAGCCTGTCCTCCCACCCTCGGACCATCTTCGTGGCCTCCTCTGGCCCCACTCCAACAGCTCCGTGTCCTTCTGATGTTGGGGCCCCACTGCAGGGGGGTCTCCCCAGAGCAGAGCAGAGGGGCAGAGTCCCCCACTACGGCCCTGCTGGCCCCACTGCTGGGGATGCAGCCCAGGAGGCCGTTGGCTTTTTTTTTTTTTTTTTAATAGTTGATCTAAGAAAATATGAGCGTAAAGCAACGGGCTGTTTTTCAAAGACACCTTCTGCAGAAGCACCTGGGCAGCAGCCTGAAAACGCCGTCGTAGACTGACAGCTGGTTTCAGGCAGATTAATAAATGACATTTTGCTTTTCTTTCCAAATACAGCACTGGGGTGGTTTAGGGTTTTTGCACATCTCTCAGCCTTCGCAGCGAGTAGGTATGAAATTAGTGCAGGGAAGCTGCCGCACACACTTCTCTTGTTGCTACAGGTGACGATTTTCACAGCAGTTGGTGTGATTTGCTGTCCAGCGTGAGCAAGATGTCGGTACTCCCATGTCACAGGCATCAACTACATTTTTTTTCAAGGTAGGTGTCAGTGCATCCCCAGGAAACAACTACCCTCTAGGATCAAAACCATAACCACCTCACATTTTATCATGTCCAAGCTTAGTCTGCTCCTCCACACTGTTCGCTCACTAACCCCTGAACCTCCTCTACACACCTTTCAAACAAACGCAGTAAAAATGATGAACCTTTTTTGGCTTGTGGGAGAGTTTCCGACCCAACAGCTGTGTTTTTCCAAACCAAAACCATTCTGCTTTTTTGTAGTTTCATAAAACAGCCGAGTGATCTTATCCTGAAAGCTGTAAAAAAATCTAGATACAGGTCAATCGGTTCTTCTTTTGTTGTATGACATCTAAAGATGCAATAGACGAAGGAAGTGTAATATATCTTTGAAGAAATTACTCTGTGGTTTATTTTTCCTTTTATTTGTTTCAGCCATGCTCTTCCCTAAGTGTCACCCATCTGCAAACATGCAAGATGACAGTTGTTGCAAGATACGATGGTGTATGTGTGTATCTTATCTGAAGAGTAACAAAACGCTAATACTACAATTAGGTACTCAGCAAGCATAAAAGGATTTCGGTTATCAAACAGATAAAGTTACTTTATTCATGTTTAGTCATACAAACAAGGAGTCAAAAGAGAAGTATCAGCGCACACAGCCGCAAACAAAAATTTTGCACTTTAAAAATTATCAGAACAATTGCAAATGTAATATTTATCGACACACAATTCATATTTTCTTCGTAAAACAGGTGCACGTTTTATTTTTCCTTTTTCTGATTCTGTTCCTCTTCTTTCCTTTTCTCCAAATAATACTTCAGAATGTCGTTCAGCTGCTGCTCACACTGGCTTACGTGTTGCAATCCATTTTCCCATCCTAAAAGCAGCAATAACCAGGATAATTACATCTCCCTTCCCAACCTCCATCACGCCATTAGTCTGTGGTGATGTGAACATCTATTTCCCCAAAACTACCAAAGGGATGTAATATTTTTTACTTGGAAAATTGTTCTTCTTCAGAGTTTGACCATTAACAAGGTGCTTCCTTTGACGGCAACCAAGTTGGTAAGCAAAATTATTACTCCTTTGGCACCTATTCTTGCAGTGAGCTGTTGCTTTAGAGGCTGAGCGCTGTGGTACCCGCTAAGGTGAGGACCTTCCCCCTCTGAAAGGGGATGTGCCCCTCTGCAAGACAAGGGAGCCTCAGCAGGTCCCGCGGAGTCGCATTCTGCCAGAGTTTATCAAATCTGCTGTAGAGATTTGGACTCTCTTCCATCTCTCACTTTTCTAGTTCAAAGAAAATCACCACGGGAGAATTTATGATGAAATGTACCTCAGGGTTGGAGATACGAAGTGTCCCGTTTTGTAGGGGACTCATTTGAGTGCCAACGGAGGGAGAAACTACGACCCTCTCCTTCCAAAATAGGCGTGCTGCAGAGAGGAAAGGGATGCACGGAACTAAGGGGCTGTTCAGGCATTTTAAACGCCTTCTAGCAAAGTTGCAAGGGGTAGAGACAGGTGCCATAAGGTTTTGTGCTTTGTTTTTCTTAAGCAGGATTAGCTTTCAAATATGTAAATACTCAGTTGCAGTAAACGACACAGCAGATACGTGGGAACTGTAAAAAACTGATTTTCAAAAACTGTATTTCCCTCTGTGGTCCGATAAAAACACACCTATTCACAAGACAGTGACCTGTCAACGAAGCAATCGGGAATTACTTGGCAGAGTTAACTGATCTCCAATAGCATCGTTATTTTTCTAGCAGCTGAAAATTTATTTTCCCAAACCCAGTGAGCCCCTAGTTGCAGAAAGACGCTACGCATTTTTCTTGAAGTACTGTCTATTCAGAAATACTGCTGTATAGAAGAATTTGGTTATAACTTGTTTCTGCCTGGGTCTACTAGGTGAAAGCAAACTGGGAAAGGACTGGAAATGCCGCAGGGGTTTTCAGCTCTCCCTACCAGCGCGCTCTTCCTGTTGCTTCTGACGGTATCAAAAGAAAAAAGAAGTCCCATTACTGGATAACAAATACCCTTCAAGTATAAAACCAGTTTGCAGATAAACCTGCTAACACGCAACTTGTACACTTGTAAATACTTTCATTTTCCTGCAGTGTACTATATTATAAATGTAATCATTATTCTGGTTTAATATAGGATGCACACTATGTACTTTATATATTATATAGTATGTATAATATATATACTGTAACATATAACATTTATTCTACATAGTTCAATTCAAGAAGATGAGTTCCCTGGTTTCAAAAACACAGGGAAAGAAAACATTACCTTTGCAGTGCTGAATTACTCTTCCCCACAGTCTGTTCTTACTTAAACAGGCCAAATTTCCAACGATCAACAGATGCCTCTTTGCCCTGGTCAGCGCAACGTTCATTCTCTTTTCCGAGTCTATGAACCCAATTTGTCTTGTTCTCACGCACGACAAAACGACGATCTCCTTCTCAGCTCCTTGGAACGCGTCCACAGTGGAGACCTGGACAGCTTTAACTTCAAAAGCCTCAGAGTGTACACCGCTAAGCGAATTCTGAATCTGTAGACAAAAGGAGTATGGATGGTGACGAGTTACGCCGCTCACAATCAATCACTTGACTTGAGCAAACGCACTCCGCAAGTGAGAGTCTGCACGAGACGCAAACGAAGAAACCGCAGAGTGCGCCGAAAGCAAAACCTCAGCTAATCACAGGAAAACGCTACGCGATGAACCCGTTTTTGACGAAACCCGCGCGCCTTCAGCGAGGCAACTGGCGCTTTCGCTCACTAATCACGGCAGCCCATGTCATGCCTCGGATGACTGGGCGAGGTGTAACTCCAGCCTTAATAAGTAGATGCCTCTGTTATCTGTCCCTGTCACATGTGCCAGTTTGGAACAGCCCCTAATTCATTCATGAAAATTACAGACTATTCACTCTGCCAATTTTGCGAGTGTGCACATGGAAAGACAGCAAATGGAAAATTTTTTATTTTTTTTAAATCATGTTCGAATTGAAAGATTTTGACGAATTTCAGAGGGAAAACATGTAGTTTTTTATTTTTATAATACAGAAGAGAAGTTACAGTAAACTCTAGTTTACCTATCCAGCGTTTGGTTCTCCCTTCTAATTGACTCTTCCTAGTTGAAACGGAGCCTATGTTTAGAACACACAAATACATTTAAGAAAACTGTTCAATTGCTGATAGATTATACAAACCTTACACATCTGGGATTTATAGAGAGTAATCACACCAATTGCAGACCCTTCGATTCCACTTGCGATCAGAGCCTGGATGAGCTTGACCGTAAAATGAACTTCTGCCACGTTGTAAAAGCTGGTGTCTCGTTCGATCTGGAAATAGGGAAGAGGATTCCCAGTTTAGCTCTCGCAAACAGCAGAACGCAAACCGAAATGGAACGGAGGAAAAACTACGATATTGACTTTTTATACAAGAAATGTTTAAAAACTTACTTGCTCTACCCCATTAACACTGTAAAAACATAGTGTCGGGAGCCAATCCAATAAAGGACTTCTGTCTTTCTCGGAAACACCATCTATCAGATGTCCTTCATAGAACAGCTCGTTGGCTATGGCACTAATAGCAGGGTGACATCGGTACTGTGTCCGAAGAAGTATTGTTTTATGTCCCTAAAGGATTATGACACAGAAAGTGTGACTAGGAATAAGAATTACTAAATATTTTGCAATGCAATTTTGCTAGGTCAAACAAGAAATAAGTGAAAACAATTCCTGCAGTAAGCTGGCGGTCCGTTCGCTTCAATGCAAGTCAGAACAAATCCTGCAGCCCCTGATCCTTCTACCTGGATTACAAACTGCACAGAAAGATCAGAAGGCAGAATCTGTTCATTGGCTTTCAATCCATTCTTGGTTTTTACATTTGCCACACTCACGAATTTCCGTGCGTTGTGAAAACAACATTTACAGAGGAATGCAGAGAATGGAATCGGCTGGAATTAAATTTTAATGGAATTAAAAACCAGGCTGAAACACCCATCTTCTGTGAAGATGTGGTTAGTAGGACCTACCATTAAGCAAAGCCGGTCAAAGAGAGTCTGCTCCAATCCCTTGGCATGAACGCTCTCAGACCCTTGAATAGTTGGCGGCAATTGCTTAGGGTCTCCAACAAGGACTAGCTTTTCGCACTGAAACCTAAATAAGAACAGTTAAAAAAAAAAAAAGAAAAGAAGTTCTAAAAAGGATGTCAAACTACTCATAACGAAAGTGGGTGCCATGTTTATATATATCACAGATGGCTTTCCACCAAGCTCCCTTCTCCATCGCTCTCTTTGCACAGTTAAAATAACACGGTAACTCAAGGAAGGCACCTCAGAGTAGCCTTCAATTTAACGTTATTCTTCTTGCTTTCTAAGCTAAGACCTCGGAGTTCACGTTCTTGAGAAGACATGCAACTTGGGCAATTATTTGAGGTTGTGTCACCTCTAACTACAAGTTATTTCTCCGCTGAAACACACAAGGAAAGCTGTACCTTGCGATAGGAAGGAGAGAAGCGGGTTCAGTCATCTGACTGCACTCATCCAGCATCACCACGGGAAACTTCAGAGCGTTCAGAGAAGGGAACGGGCAGGCAGCACACGTCACTCCAACCACTCTTACCTTTGTTATTAGGGAGGGGAAAACGGGTAGGTAAAAAGTTAAGATCATTTAATAGTTAATCTCTGTGCAGTACTTGACTATGGATTCAGCAGTAGAATACACCTAAATGCATTTTTAGCGGTTCTGCCGCGTGCTGCGTCATACTCACTGCCTCTCACAAAGGTCTGTTCTAACTTCCAGTAAAAGGCACTGTGTGCGCACGGAGGTGGATCCAAGGTTACCATTTCTCATGCTTGGGGTGTTTATACGTTAGAATCATTCAAAGATTGGTGTATTTTAAGACCAAATCCGGTCTGGTACAGGGAGAGTTCAGATTACACAATCCTCCAAAAAATTCTGAGCCCCAGTGGCCAAAGTGGCAGCAGTGACCACTAGAAATAAGCACAAGAAACAACTTGCTCCAATCTGCTTTGCTACAAATCACTCAGATCTGCTTTGGTGTCGCTCTACAACAAGCTGGGAATTTTTGAGTCTAGCACTGAGGAGAAAAGGCAAGTAACTGGAAAGACCAGAAGACGAGAAAATTTTTCTACAGGAAGTAGTAATCTTAATACTTTGATGAAAATTTGCTTAAAATAGATTTGAAATCTTCTTGGCAGTTGATACTCAACTCTAGGATAGATTTAGCTCAGGCCTTATCTTTTACCTTTACGACCATATAAATCTTAGTTTCAAGGTGACAGTGCAGACTAGCTGTGCTCAGAAATTGTTCTCTCCCCACTTTGGAAACTAGATCGGTAACACTAAATCAGACTGCAATAAAATTCAAAAAGGGTTTCTGTCTCTTATCTCTAAACAGGAACTGCACGTGCAACTCGGAGACAGGTGAGACGCTAAGCTATACCTGTGGAATCAAACCCGTCCTAGTCCTAACGTTCATTTTATTTTTCAAAACTTGAGGAGCTCGGCAGGCGTGAGAGGGGATTCCCAGTTTCCCTTTGCTGAGCCTTGTGGATAAAGCATAGCGAATCCCCACTTTCCCATCCCAACGCTTTGACATACCTGTTGCAGTATGGTTTTATTGGTCCCCAGTTTATGTTGCTCAATACTCTTCCTTACGTACATTTTTTCAACTGGAGTTAAGTCTTCTTTCATGAGAGCAAGCAGTTCTTTTAACTGCTCATTTTCGTTTCCCGAGCCAGCATGTAAGCTTCAAAAAGATTTTACAACACAAATCACAATGACTGAAAATCAGAGTGCTTTCAGTCTTCAGGGAACACCCAGTATAGAAAAATAATCCTACTTTATACACAACAGTACTTTATAACAGTGTACTGACCTATCCCGAATCCAGCTGAGATACACTACTGTAATACTGTTATAAAACAGACGTTTATCCCACCAGCTCAGACCCCGTCACCCCAACCAGAGACAGACACGTAGCAAACAAATTCTCCAAGTACACGGCTGATTTCAGAGCGGAGAAGAACCGAGGAGAAATTTATCATTCTTATCCCAATTTATACCCCTGGTATGCTACCGACACCAAGGAATGGAAATCTAATCTTTACTCATCTTGAATTTTACTTCCTTCTCTCAAACTGTGTTGCAAGTTCTACGTAGATGGCTTACTTTTAAGTAGTTAAAGGACAAATCCCAGAACACTAAAGCAGAGATAACTGGGTAAGGAGCACAGAATTCACAAGTTGTTACCATTAATTGCCCGAACATTAAATTTACGATTACTTCCTCCAAGTTCTTACCGCGACAGCAGTACATATCTATTTCAAGTCTGTCTGTTTTGCTTTTCCTCCCTGTGTAAATACCCAAATCTGTAACTGCCGTTATTTTGTTCTCTTCTGCTACTTTCCATTTAAAAGCATAAACTTTATTCAGCAACAAGTGACATATCCAAATCGAGGTAAAATTTCCCCACTGTGCAGGGAGGGGGGCGAAAAGAAAAACCCACCTGAGATAAGCATATTACAATCACATTTTGAATGACTTCAAAATAGTAACTTTACGGTATGCACACAATCACAAATCTGATAATCACTTCAGATCCCTCAAAGATTAAGATTCTCACCTATAGGGAAGAATTGCTTTGGTGATTTTCCTAATACTCCCCACTCTGATAAAATCCTCAAATCCAAGATCAAGTAGACTTCAAAGAAAAAGAGATGATACATGATAAAGAAATGGAAAAAGAAATCTTTAAAAATTTAAAAGTGGTTCTAAAAATGTTAAGAGACACCTCAGAACATTGAAAAACACAAAATTCTGCGATTAACCAGATGAAGTAACTCGAGACACAGTTCAAGTAAATCAAAGCAAATTACTGCATCGTGATTAGTCTCAAAAATCCTTAATGCATTTATAAGTCTCCTCTCGCATATAGTCTCCCATTTGTACTTTCCCTTCCTTTATCCTTCCAAACCATGAGCTTTATTTCGTATTAGCTTAATTCTGAAGCTTCCCAGGTTTGACTCTCTCTGCCCCTCCTTCCCTCTCCATCCCTCCTTCCCCTGCCGCTACTTCCCAAAGCTTCCTGAGCAATCCTACTGTCTGTCACGATGGATTTTAATTGTAAATTTAATGAGTAGGGCCCCCCCCATCTTTTTGAAGAGTTATACTGGAAATATCAACACTATTATCTTTACCATCTAAGTGCATTATTGTTTTAAGAAGAATCATCTGTAAAAATCTCAGTAACATACCCCAGCAGTATCCTGTCCACGGCAACGTTAGTGGAAGAAGCAATCAAGAGTTTCCACGGAGCTGACCTGGGACCCTCCGTAGCTTCACTGCTTTCAAAGAGTCGTACCAGGAACAGGACCACAACAGACAGCAGATAGCTCTTTCCAGCTCCAAACACGCCTGGTAATTCGGAAGAAAAAAGCCAACGTTACAAGCAAGACATTTCTAGACAGTAAGTTTTTAATCAACGGTTATAATTGAAGTTTATTTTAGGAAATATTATGCTGTAATTCCTGTAAAGACATTGCACGTGCTTCCTTCAGCAGCTGTATGCATCCAGGGGCAACCAGTTGGCTTACGCTTTGCATTTACTGCCTGAAATAAGTTTACAAAAAAATACAGAAGAGGGGAAGCTAAGGTATTTTTTCCAAAATTTTCTCATTGAATACATGCGCTGCTTGCTAAGGATTCTCCTCAATACATTAAACAAATACAAATATACAAGTATGTGCATGCACGTCCCTCATACCGTGTCCTCAGGTGCTGAATAAGGAACGTTGATGAACAGTCTATGTTGACAAGTGGTAAAACAAAGACAGAAGGAAGTATAAAACAGCAAGGAATAATGCATAATATAAAAAAAAAAGTTGTATGATAATTTAGCAAAGCTGATATGTGACAAAAAGTGGTTTTAATATGAAAAGAAATAAGGAGAAGGCACTAAACTCTGATTTTGTATGTAGATTTTGCGAGGAAAGAACTATGCTTATTTTAAAATCCTGCAAAAGGCAAGATGCAAATTCGAGGATCAAAAGCTCTGTGCTGATAGAATGGATGTTACACTGTCAAGCTCATTACCAAAGGGTCTCACCCAAAACATGAATTTTCAGGAAATGCACGAAGTAGGTGAGGACAGCAGCATTACAGAAGAGTGTAAAAGGATATTCCATACACAGAAGCAGTTTACTCAAGCTTATCTTTTGCGCTACGTTTAAAGCAGGTCAACATTTCCTTTGCCATAAGAATCTTCCTTTAAGTCTGCCTGGAATTGTAAATATAAGATTAAGGAAACAAGTCCACTGTTTCATCACTGAGAGAATTTAGGGATATTTCACTAACACCGGCATTACACATTAATTCGCATTTTTGCGGATACAACAGCAACAAATGTCACCATTATTTGCTATATACCACGTATGATAGTGATCGGGAAGATCTGATGTTCTTGCGCTGCTTTGGTGTTTTCACACGAGGCCATCATCTGAGCTACCCGAAGCAGCGACGTCGCTTGATCTGGGTTCAACGAGAACGTTTGGATCATCTTTTTAGCTAACCCCATCGCCGCTTCAGTGCTGACTGCTCCATACATCACTGTGCGTTTCAGGCTGACGGCAGGTGGGATAAATTTTCTTTTGTTTACTCTCTTGGAGGCATTTTCAGAATCAAAATTCCTAAGAAAGACACAACGGTCAAACGGTACGATATAATACTGCATATGTATAATTTGTATCTCGTGGTTCCGATATTCATCTGATATTGAAATGCTGAAGCTTTGTGATTAACAGCTGATGAAATTAGAAGCTGCTGCCCCCTGAAATACACTTGGGCTGTGTGTTCCCACCCCTTATTACTTCCCTGGGTGAAAGCCGGGTGACATGAAACAGGCTTTTGGGTTTTATCGTTCTTGCTGTATCCTCGCACTTTCAATCTGACTTAGTCCAAGGCAGCGAGACTGATAGAATTAAGAGTGGTAGAAGAATGTGGTCACAGGTAGCAGGGGTTCACTTAATTACTTGTTTCATACAGTGAATCGTAAGGAGTCTTGGAAATACCCCTGTATTGCTCCAGTGCTCCAAGAAAATATTGTATTTTTAGGTTTTGTGTCAAATATCTCTAAAAATTTGGCAGGAAAAACAGTTCCACTGAACCCCTGACGCATGTACATTAACTTAGTGCAGATCTATCTGTGAGTGTACTATCAATCTACGGTCACGACAACGCCCACTATTAATTTTTAAGTTGTAAAACGTGGGCTGAAGGTAAGTTTTCAGTAAAAAAAAAACAAAACCCAACTTAAAACTCCTGAGTTCAAGTTAAGCAACAGATACATTTTCATTCCCATATAAATGAAAACTGCATTGTCAACAATCCATTCTTTGCACTGTTTTTCCGATTTTAGTTTTTCTCCTCCGCTTTTTAACGGGGCAAACTCAATGTTATTTGTGATGTTTGATTTTCTGTACCTGTTGACATACTCTACGCTCACAGTATCTCCAAAACAGTAACTTACATTTTCAGTAGATAAGGTATTAGCGGTAACGTAGATGGATTGAAGTGCTCCTCCATATTTCTTAAAGATGTAAGCTCACCACTAGCGTTACAAACCAGCAAGGCATGAACCAACGCTGCAAAGGCCACAGAAAAATAGAATGAGGGAAAAAAATTAAATTAGCCAAAAGTTCCAATCAGCTAGCTAAATGAATTACAAAATGCCAAAAGAGCAATTAGCTTCCTGTAACAGAAACCAAGTTAACCCAATTACTGTGTCTGACTGAGCTCAGGGATTGCCTAAGTAACAGGTTTCTACTAAGTTTAGTAACCCACATACCCCTATTTTGCTGTTTATCACTGCCAACAACTATACATTAAAGCTTTATTTTCATACAACTTAGGGTTTTAGTTTTGTAGTGGTTATAGAATTATGACATATTTTCTATTTATGACCTCAAAGAAAGTTAGGACCAGAAATTTCCCAAGAAAAAAATAAAATGCCGTGATTCAACAGCATTAAGGCTGAAAAGCTATTGCTCGAACGATCCAGTCCTGCAATTCACAAAACCAAACCTCCGATTGCACTTGAATCCCGTGGTTTTGATAGCCTGTATACCCACAAAGAACTTGCGTGCCATTGGATTTTATTCTTTTTTCTGTGTTCTGAATGTAATTCAGAACAGGAGTTTAATGTAGACTCACTGAATTGTGCTTTGCGGGAACTCACTCCCTAATGATTACACAAAAAGCCTTTTTTAAAGGCTTAAAAATCTTTTTAAGGCTAATTAGTTAACTGAAACCAATTTAGCTGCTTAAGGTTAAGTGGTACGAATAAAGCCTTTTGTGATCAAACACACAATTTTCATATTGTATTAAAAGAAAGTAAACAGAGGTACGTTATTACTAGCTCCAGAATGACTACATAATGCATTCTTCACCTCTTTTACAAAAAAACCCACAAAACTTAAGAGCAAAAATAAGAAACTTTTACATCGCGTTTGGCAGCTTGTTTGTCATTTTTCTGGGACATCTATAGCAGACCACACTGTTCCTCTCCGCACTTCAAGCCCACTATCCTTACTGTTTCCAACACACCGATGACAAAAATCCCCCAAACAGAAATGTTAAAACCAAAAAGGATGGCTGCAGCTTGCTTGGGAACAGCTTGCTAGAGAATAAAAAGGTCAGCAGTTCATTAAAAACCGTCAGCGCTAGGTTTAGTAAAATTTTCTTTTTAAAGTACAATGACATAAATAACTAAAACTAGACAGATTTGTTTTTTCTGATTTCTGAAACACCACTTTTTTAGTCATTCTAGACTGTAGCAACAAAGGCACAGAAAGGAACTTCAGAACAGCCAAATGACAGATTTAATACATGGCTTTTTAGATAAAAACAAATTTTCAATAGTGAGTTGTTTGGGGTTTCTGTTTGTTTTTCAAGGACAGTAACAACATATTCCTGGTAACTACACTCCAACAGTCAATTTCCATTTTATACTATATTATTTACTATGTTATTTACATTATCCTCATTTCTTCATCACCCACTTAGAATTTCTTACCATCTACTTTGCAGGTTTAATTGCATTAAGTACCGTATTCAAATTACACATGCAGAGATACAAGAAAAAAAAAAATACTGTGAGTAAAATCATGTATTAGGTTTGAGAAATCCTAATCTCATCCTTCATTGCTGGCCAGACTTTTCCCTCAGTAGTCGTTTCCCACAATTCTGAATTATTTGATGTACAACTTACTATTTGATCGCCAGTTGGAGGGGCAGTAGCCTTTCAGTGGTAGTAATTCCACTTCGTTGTTGGAGGAGGGTCCAAAGAAAGCACTACTTGCAATGAAAGTATCCGGGGGATCAAAGTTCAGAGTCTTTGAGACAACCCAAATATCATCTGTCAAAAAAATACAGAGTTCTCATAAGCTGCTTCTCCTGCTGTCTTCTAAAGAAAACGAAGCTGCACAGAAGAGCCCAGTATTTACTACGCTGCAAATTAAACCACCGCTAACGTGAACGGAGGGCATATTAGAAAGTCCTAAATAAGTGTTAGTTCAGTTCTAAAAGAATGAATAAAGTCCTAAATAAGTGTTAGTTCAGTTCTAAAAGAATGAATAAATAATTTGCAATTCTTCTAGTACTTACAGTCTGAAATCGATGCCCACTGTCAAGTTCTCTCCTGGTGCACTTCGCACTTCTGACAAAACTATTATCAATTTTCAGAGTATATGGAACAAATCACTGCAGTTGACTACAGATCTAGTTAATCACTCTTTTGCCAAAGAACAGCAAGTACTGAAATAAACATGTATTTTCCCTTCCTTTTCAAAACCAACACATATTGGATGGAGCCTGCGAGCGTTCTGTTTTATTTGGCACACCTGATGAGACTAAAGCTCCCTACGCTATTTCTATACCATATATTGCACAACACAGCGAGGGAAATCTCAGAGTTAGGAACAATGTAGGCGCGTTACATTTGCCTGTACCAAAAATGATCAAAAAATTATCCCACACAAGTATAAGTTTTGCCTATGCAGAGCTTTGGAAGTTGAAGTGACAAGTCCCTGATTTGTCAGAACATTTCAGCGTCTGTACGTAAAGTGTGCACAGACACGTTTGTTTCTGCCTAATTTCCTTTATATCATTTTTAACAGCAAAGTGAACAAACTATTAAGATATGGGTATCAATTAAGAAATTACTGAAGTGAAATGAACCATTGAGACTATCTGGATCAAACCACTGGATGTCCTCCGACTTCATAACACCGCGATAATTTAGGAGAGATACGCAATGTCTACAGAAACACCAATCTTTACATCAACTTTTCCTTAAATATCATCTATTTGAATACTGGGCTTTCCTGAAACGCCAGACTCCCAAATTTAATAGACTCCAAACCCAAGGACATGGAATTTGTATTTTTCTAAGGTAGTTGAACATTTACAAGAAAAGATGAATTAATGAAATACTTTGTTGCCCTTCTGGAACGAGAACTGAGTTATCAGGGTTGTCAGGAGTTTAAAAATAGGATTCTCTTTTTCTCTTTAGATTACAAATTAAAACTTGAAAAAGGTAGAGCATGACACGGACAGTTCTTCTGAGGCTTAAGATTTGCTTACCTTTGCTATAGAGAGAATAATGCTCCTTTCTGTTCAGTTTGAGGTATAATTTGGTTTTGGAATCACCATCAAATCTGGCAGATGTATTCATAAATTTCTTGAACTTACTACACCGCTGTGTTTGAATTTCAAAGGCTTTCCTGTTAAAATGGAATTTGAAGGGAAAAAAGTCTGTAAAGAATTGGGACATTTCAGATTTACCACCAAAAATAAGCAAGCTCCACAGACTGGACCAAATTAATACAGCGCAGATCCTGGTGGTTGCTCATCAGCTTCCATTACCAAGTTTTTAAAAACATTTTTCTTGACCGCAAAATATTTCTCTCATATTCAGCCATGATTAAAGCTGTTTCCCCTACAGTTAAGCAGCACAGAATAGCCTGCGATACAACTTTTAACAATGAAATTAGAATTACTGAGAGAATAAATCAAATTCTCTTACGAACGAGTAAATGAGCAGTAATTCAAAGGGATTTCATTAAGCAATCGATCAAGTTGCTAGTAAGCAGTTTTCATTCTTGCTGAAGAGCGCTGACCCGAAACGTCATTGCTGTGAATATTATTCCTTCACTAATTTGGCCTTTACACTTCTACGTAGAACCACATCCTCTTCGAATGTAGTTAGTGCAAGTGTCTGTTCAACGCTACTGAAATCCAGAGCTACTGGAATATTCTTAAATCCTGCAGTTCACATAGCACTTGCTAAAAGTGCACCGCACTTCAGGATACCTCACCAAAAGCTGGCATCCCTCAGAGAGAGAAATCTTTTGACTTCTGAGGTACGTCCCAATACTTTTTATATCATGAAGCACTACACCAGGTCTGGATTTCAGCTGCGCAGGGTTCACGTCTTCTACCCACTTGAAAAACGAACACCGCTCAGCTTTTGGGGCATCACAGGTATAAAACCAACGACCCTAGGAAGGGAGGGGAAGAAAAAAAGAAAAAAGACCATTAGTACATTAAAACAAACGAGCAAAAAAAAAGTAAAGCAATGGACCAGTAGTCAGGGCTATAGAAATAATCAGATAAACAGCTGTGCTTTCACTGCCTTTGGCTGAAAAACACAAGCGTGTTCCCAGAGCTCTCAGGTTCTGAAGCCAGTGTCTGCAATCGTACCTTACAGAAACGCCATATAACCTAGATATTTATTAAATCAGGTCTTTCTCTCTACATATCTAAAGCTGTTTCTGTCCGGAGAAAACTATTACATCAACAATTCTGCATACTAGTGGATACTACAATTGATCTTAAAAGTGACCTCTATAAAACATTAACCTACAACTGTAAACCATAGACAATTGCCCCGTAATTGTTCATGCAATAGGGTCTACACGCCAAACACACACCCCAAACTGTAAACAAAGAAGGAATAAACAGCACCTTGTTTTGACCTTCTTTTTTAACCATCACGAGCTTCGCAGGACGCGTGTGACTGCAGACTGGACCGCAGCTTGCTTTGCTCTCGCTTTGCCCATCTTTCAACGAAGTGTAAAATGATATATCTACTTTCGAAAGAGCATCGTGCAATCTTTGCGACAACTCAAATAGCATGATGTTTAATTGCTCTTGACGTAAAAAGGAGAATAAAAGAGGAATTAGCACAGCCTTAAAATGGTTACGCAAGCACACAGCATTCAAAACGAATACATTAGCGTTTGAAGCTTTCAATCCCAAACCTAAATCAAAAAATTTGAGTCCTAAAAGAAACCACGTGACCTGCAAAATTCATGTACTGCACGTGCAATTAATTTGTTCTAACTGCCTTACTTGCATTCAAATCCCATTTAAGTGTATGACTCCAAATGATCCAAACACTAAATAACTGCACAAAAAAAAACCCAAAAGGAGCTTAGACAGGAAACTAAAGATGGGTAAATAGGCACAAGGTTACATAGTTGAGTAGAAGTGCACCGGCCCTTTGTCTTTACAATTTTGGGTATAGACTGAATATATTTGAGTAAATATACCCAAAACCAAATGCACACAGTGGTTCCAACAGATGATGTTGACTGTATCTCTCTCTCTCCCCCTGCTTTTGAAGCTTCAGAAATACACTGTTTAAAAGTGACAGCATTTTACATAGCACGGTGTTAAACCTACCTGTCAGAGCAGCTTTAAAAATCTGTTTGTAGTGAACGTAAGACTGAAACACAATTGGTATGGAAATCTTTCTTTTTGGAAGATTAGCATATTTTACTTTATCCACACTAGGAAAAGACAACTCGGAAATTGTTATGTCCTAAAAACCAGAAGAATAAACCATTAAAACTTGCAAAACCCTGAATGAAACAAATTTTGTTCAATGGCTACTGCACAGATATGTGAAAACCTATCAGGTTTTTTTTCTCTTTTTCCTTTTTTTCTTTTATATATCGTGCTCTCATTAATAAGTACAATTAAATAGAAAAAAAATCAGGGCCTCATTCTGCAACCAGAAGTTTCAAGATGAAGATTGTCAACGAAGAACCAGTTCTCTAAAAGCAAAATGCAAATCCCCTTCGCCACAAATGGTTGCCGACTTTTTTAACTGCAAGTACAGGAGCATGTATTCAATCTGACTGCCAAGAGGAATTACACCTGGAGCTACAGCACAGAGAGCTTAGACTGCTATTTAGGACGTACCAGGAAGTTCAAATTTCCCTTTTGACAAACAGCCTGCATTTACAATAACATACGTAATACTTTCAAAGGCTTTAGAGTAAATGGTGTAATTCAGAATCACGTTATCAGCCCTAAACATGGCGAAGGAGCAAAGTCCATTTTTAACACCATTTCTGCACAGAAATAAATCCAAAAGGTGAAACTATAACAAAAGCAGTAGAGAGAAGGAAGAACCAGACTAGAGGGCTTTGGGGAAATTGCGCATGCCACCGGCTGCCCCTGTGCCTGCCACCCCAGCTAGTCCCAAGGAGCTTCTTCCACCTACCTACGCTGCAGCGGGCATCATAATGATAACTCTCTTCGTAAGCTTTTTAAAATGCAATATAGATGGATTTTATATATATACGCAAACACACGGTGTATACGAAATACACTACTTATTGCCACATCTCTATTTCATATCAATTTTACCATACAGCTTTAAAGAACTAGAAAACACAGCATGCTAAGTTTGCGTTAAAAAAAAAAAAAGAAAGGAAAAAATCTAAGGTTGTCATTAACTCTCAAACATAGCCATCAGACGACTTTTAAAACTTGACCTGAGGTTGTTGGGTTTGGTTTGGTTTTTTTTCCCCAATTTACTCCATTTGTTTAAGACAGTCTACTGGTCACAAACAGCTACGCTAATTTTTTAGATGCTTATTCAACGCCACAAATTCCTTTCCCCACAATTAAAACTCAAGAAATGTCAAACATCTTAAAATCAGAGACTATGCTTTGAAGCAAGATATGTGTGTTCATTAAAATGATGCTGGTCTCATAATTCAGAAAAAACCCTTCTTGACAACACATTCTTACCAATTATAGACGACAAAACAACTCAACAGCTTTTACTTCATGTACCTGACATCAACTTTCAGAATAAAAATCTAAATCTGGCACTGTGCATGCCAAGGAATTACCTTTACAAAGAATTAGTCACAGCACTTAAAAAAATATATATATTAGCAGCTGCTGTTCTGTAGCTGAGACTGTTGTGCTACTATATGTGTAGAAACATTTCATCCAATCATACTGATATTATCTTGCAGGAAATCAGATAAATGCAGTTACTTTGTCCAGAAAAAAAATGCGTTTCTGTCATTTGTAACTGTATTTGCTTGAACAGTTACACACCTGGCCGTCTCCTGTTCCAGCGTGGCAGCTCAGATGACTTAACACCTTTTGTGTTGCTTCAGCCAAAGGTGTCTGACTTGAGTGCAGAGAAAGTAACTTCCCCTCTGAAATCAAATCTTGGTCGCGGGTATTTGCACAGCATTGAGCAGGCGTGCTCTTCGCTGTCAGCAGAGATGCAGAGCCGGGAGCACTTTTCTTCACGGCGCCGCTCTCTCCTGTGTCACCCAGCGGCATTCCAAGGGCACTCTCAACGCAGATGTCATCGGTCACATCCCCATCATCGCTGTTTTGAGTGATCAAGTCACACTGAGCGCTGTTTTGGTATTTCAGCCACTTGCTTTGTCTGTATTGTGAAGTCAAATTAGGGAACACTGGTTGTACGGACTCCTTTTGTCCGTCTTCCATTTGTCCGTCTTCCATTTGTCCGTCTTCCGTATACTCTCCAAACACAGAGGGTTCATAATTTCTGTCCTCGGGGCCAAAAGCACTAATAGGAAATACCGCTGACTTGTTGCCTAAATGGACTACAGAAGAGCCGAATGATTGCTGGACCTCCTCGCTGTCAGTCGGATAAACTGCGTCGGGAACCTTCTCAGTGGCAGGAAGGGTGACAAATGGGGTCCGTGTTTTAACCGAGGGTTTGAAGCTTGAGAGGTTGCATTCCTCTGGATAGCTGGATCGCTCCCGTCCTGTAGGGCAAATACATCTTAGAAGGAACTCGTAACACTTACGGATGACACGTTAACTCCAGATGTACAAGAAACTAAGATAAGGAAAGAATTCTAAGTTCTTCCTTTTACATTCTGTCTTCTAATTGGCAAGCTCTTTGTATCATGCCTGTGCAGTACCACACTAAATTTCCGTGTGACATGAGTGATTTCGACTGTGTTTCCTTTAATACTTAAATCCCTATATTCAGAACACATTTCTGTAAACACTCTACTTGTATAAAAGAAAACGTTCGGTGGAAATTATTTAAACATTTTTGTGTTTTGGAGGTCGTTAATCTGATATTCTTGGTAGGTTGGTGACAGCTGCCAACTGGAAAACAAACCGCTTAATATTTGCTCCTTTTTCCAAAGAGATCACTCGCAAAACTGCGTAAATTAATATTAACCAATGTAGATAAATAGGCTTCTAGTCCTGCAAGCACCCTTTTGACTAAATTTGTTATCAATAAGAAATGACAGTCATTGGTAGGTGTCAACTGGAAGTGGGTCAGAGAAGAGCTGAATATGGAAGCAAACTAAAAGCCGTAAACAGATGAAAACATTCATGTGAATGAGAAGCTTAGCTTACAGCCTTCTCGCCCCCCCCAAACTAGAAGTTCATTTTTCTTTACAAAATTAAAACATTCTACTGAAGTCTCTTTCAGGAGAATATAATTGGGGGTGGGAGGTGGGGAATTCAAGGCTAAACCAGCTGATTTGGAAAACACTGTTTAAAAATCGTGCTGAAAAAAAAAGTAACATACAACCCTACAAAAAACGTGTGACAAACACAAATCCAACTGTGTAGTTCCCCAGTGTATTCCAGCACACAGGGTGACTGCCTATTGTAGCGCAACTCCCTGTGCTTCAAAACCCCTCACAGATTTTCCAGCAAAAATACTGTAAAGTGGAATTATAAACTGTGATTTCTTACTGAAAGAGAAAACTGAACGTTCTGGTTCACTTCGCAAGATCCTGTGTATCAGGGGCTCCTGCATGTCTCCAATAGTTTCCTCACTTCCTGAAGCTGGAGAAATTGTAGAGTCTGGGTCAAGTGTGGAAGTCAGTCCTACTGACGAAATCATCTACAGATGAAGAATTAACACATCAAGTGAATGACTGGAAAAAAAAGTGATCATAACTTTGTGACTGTTCTCTCTCTCATCATTCTAAACAGTAGAAATGCCTCTCAGAGTTGAGATAAAACAGTTTGAACAATGAGAAAATGCTACCATGAACACACAGGAAATAAAGCCAAAATGATCTAGAAGAGACAGTCCATTCACACCTTGTCAGGTTCCCATGAAGTCCACTGCTTTTGTCTCAAATCAGAACACGAAGGTGAGCCTGACATTGTCCACGGTGGAACTTCAGAATCTGCACGCAGTGCCAATGCTAGGAAAAATTCGCGAAGGACAGGAGTCATGCAGAGTAATTGTTCTGTGGCCTATCCCTGCCATTCTGCTCTTACTTTCACTTACAGGACTCATCTATTCTTGACTCTGTAATGACGTTCGACTTCTGAAAATTCTCTTCTCTGATAAAGTTGATATCATCCTCATGAGGACTTCTTGAACCTGGAGACTTTACCAAAAAAGATAAGCAAAAAACTTGTAGGAAGTTAAATTGTTTATCCTCTATATAAATATTATCTTTGTGTGAATCTTATTTCTAAGTATCTTATTTGTAGGTCTTATTTTCAGAGGCAGTTCTTCAGTATCTCTAGCCCATTCTGGAATTTAAAAAATGAAATATCAATTTTCTTTTGGTACTTTAAATACTGAAATATATACTGCATTAAAAAGAAAATTTATATTTAACATTGCATGTCATGTTTCTTTCCATCCAGGAGGAACAGAAACATAATCCAAGAAAGAAAGTTTTAACCCTTACTTTGGAACTCTCTTAACAATTATGTACCAAATTTCAAATCCAGTTGAGGCAATTATTTTACTACTAAAACCAGGAAACAATCACTATGAAAGCCCTCTGCCACTTTTCTCTAGAAGAAATCTCTCTGTTTAATATCACACATTATGACCACGTACATTTTTCAAAGTGAAACTGATCAGAGGAAAAAAAACCAAACGGGTTACATCTTGCGAATCCATAGTTCTGTCGCAAAGATGAGTAAAAATAATTGTCTAACTGCAAAGTTATAACCACAGAGCACTACGTTTGGTTCTCAGTGATTTTAATACGCTTGTAGTATTCTAAAAATGAACTCTCTTTCATCCTGCGTTTGCAGGACACTTGCTTGCACTAAGGTCAGTAAGAATAACTTATAAAAAAAATAAATGTTTTACCTGTCTGGAGTCAGAAAGGACATAATTGCTCGAGAGCGGGGGTGACAAAAATCTCTCAGCTGCAAACTCCGTATAATCTGGGTACTGCTGCCATCCTAGCTGGGCGCAGGGAGCTCTCAACATTACCTCGCTAGCTGCTGAGCCCTTTACTTGGTGCCCTTGAAATGCAACAGGCTACGCGATATATCGGAAATAACATTAACTGAAAATAAGTACTGTTCTGGAACTATCTGCAGCCAATAAAGGTACTTCTCATACACACAACAGAAACAATGCTGGGAACTGCAGAAGAGAAAAAAAACAACTGTGCTATTCTCTTTCTTTCTCTTGCACTCCTGCAACTCAGCAGCGATGAAGTTTTTGCACAAATCAGTCAACAGAAAGTTGATATTCAGATGTAGTATGTATAACCTTTTTTTGTATTGTAAAATTTGAGTTTAAAATTCTCCGTGGAAAAGTTCCCACGGACAAATGTACTAAAAAAGTAGTGAGAAGCCCATTAAGGGACTGGTTAAATATTTATTAGGACTTCTTGTAATATATTGCAAATAGTAAGCCATTGAATTGAAATTTAAGAAACAGTATTCATTACACTTCAATTCCACAGAAATTATACCTTGGGTTGGCAGTGAGATGGCCTACGGTCTCTTTGGGCTGCTGCTCTTGGTAGAATACATGCCTCTGTGTTCAAATTGTCCACACATTTGGGCTACATATAAAGGTATCAAAAGCTAATTAGTCCAGCAATTTAATAACCACTTCAAGTGAAAAGTTAAGCTAAGAAATCTCTTGTATTAATACAAGAGAAAGCATTTTAAATTACCGCCTTTTTATTTGCAAGCCAGAACAATCATGATAGGATGAGGAACTACGTTTGCTTTTCAAGTGGAACATGAAAGAGAAAAAATTAATCAAAAATCTTTCTTTCACTTTGGACGGGTTGAAAGAAAAAGACTAATAGCAGCATTGAACAGAAAAAAAATAAAAATAAAAATCAATGTGAAGCATGAAGCACAAGCAGATTTGCCAAAATATTTCAACCCAAGTACTAAAAATTCCTAGGAGAGCCGTGCACTCAAAGATAGCAAAAGAAAAAATAGATGGTAAAAGATGGGGCAGGGATAGAGAAGTACCAGACATACTAACGCGATATTAAACATAACTAAAAATTACAATTTACATTAAGTTTCTCATCACACATTTAGCCTCCTGAACATTTTTTTGGCGATAGGGTCTGCAAGAGGACATCTTCTGTTTACTATCAGCTTTTTAGTCGATGCCTCTAAGCAATTGCTAACTCAAACTCCATAGTTTCATAAACCAGGAATTTTATTCAAGAGTTTTTCTGGTACAGATAGATATACGTAGTCAAAAATTGGTTACCATAAAGCCAGAAGAATCAAAGTATGAACAGGAAGATGCCTGTATACTTTCTGAGTAAGGCATTTCTGTAAACTGTTTTATAGCTACAAGAGACGGAAAAGCATAATAAGTTACAGTTAGAGTATTCTTTTTACATGAAAACATCTGAATATTTACTGGGCTTGCAAACCTTACCCACACAAATAATTGCACAGTTAAGATTTAAATGAACTAAAGCAAACAAAGACGCAGACCTGGAGCCCACGTTGTTGCTTTTAACACTAAAAATTGCACGAGAGAACCTTCGCATGATTTCTGAATAGGAATTGTCCAGCAGGAGAGATAAGAGTACAGAAATCAAATGGCTACAGTCATACAGAATTTACTTTAAAATAGAAGCTGACCTAACCTTCATCTTTCACAAGGGGTTCAAACATCTCCTTAGAATTCTCTGCTTCGCATAATAGGCTATTATTTTCCTCCATCTTTTGTAAGCTTTCTAATGCTGTGCTATGTTGAGTCAAAGCTCTTAGAAGAGCGATATTGTTTACCAAATCAGGAAGATCTGATGAATTTTCAGCCATTGCCGTGCATTTCGGGCAATCCATTCCTATTTCACTTTTGCGGGCTTCACGAAAGGCATTTATGGTCTCTACATTTTCAAACTTAGTTTCACCTATTGCTGTTTCCTCTGGAGATGAATGGCCTTTTCCTAAAGGACAGATAGAACTTCTGGAAGTTACAGTATCTTCCTTAGGTGAAATGCCAAATACCTTTTCATGGTCTTCTGCAATATATTGGAACGAGCCGTAGCTAGGATGTGATTTTCGTGACAAAGCCAGCAAAGGACTACCTGGTTTAATGTCATCACTTTTAATACCCCAGAAGCTTTCTAAATCAACATCTGGGGATTTCATGCATCCAAGCTGTATAACATCTTCTTGGGTCGTTTTCTCCATTGCAGAAATTATTCTACTGCTAGAAACACGTGGAACACTTTCCGTTTTCTCAAACATTCTGCTTATAGGGTGACATTCATTAACATCTGTGTCACCAGGCAAAAGATCCGAGTGCTTGCTTTTTGTCCATGACATGTCTTTAATGGTATGCGCGGCACAGCCATCAAGATCCTTCTTATTGTTTGTGGCTCCAATACTTAATTGACTTTCATTCATCTCTTTTACATTGTGTCCATCACCCAAAAGTTCCACTTCAATTCCGGTCTGGTTTGCAGAGTCTTCTGCAATTTTCCCTGCCTCTCCAACATTGCTGTTACTACGCTGAGATGGTATGCCCTCAGCACAGAGATTTCCATCATACCCTTCATCAGTTGTTGAACGTTTAACTTCCTTTTCACAGTCTGTCACTGCTTCACAGCAAGAATGAAGTCTCAGCGCAGTATTCTGCGCTACATCATCTCCCTTTAAGCAATCCGGACTTTGTGAAAGCACGTTTCCTTCAGTGAGCTTATTCACGTCTCTTTCGCAGAGCTTTTCATTGTCTGTGTCATTAAAATCAAAGGCCTCCATTAGATTGAAGTTAATCTCCATCACCTGCTCATCCGGACCGCAGTCTTTGCCGTGCATACCTAACTCCTCCTTTACAATTCCAGTTTCAGTCAGTGTTACGTCCACAGAGAACTCCAGGTCACCCAGCACTCTTTCGGAGTTTTGTCTTGGCTGAAGCTTGCTTTGCAACTTCACAGATGAATTCTCCTTAAGACTGTTAGTCACTGAACGCTCCCGGTATCTGAAGAGATTTTCAAAGCTGATTGGACTCGATGAAGGCGAAACGTCACCTGAGGATGTGACAAACTGACTGTCACTCATTCCACTTACGGTGGATTCAGGTAGGAAGCGACCATTTGTATTGCAGGAATCTTGTAAGTCTTGACTTAGATTATTTGCCTTTTTGACAAGTCTCTGTCCTGCGACTTCTTTATCACAAGGTCGTTCAACTGAATTTACAAACATTTCAGCATTCTGTCCCTTTTTATCATTTACAGTTCCCTTTGTCAAAGGCGGGTGCTGAATATTTTGAACGAGTCTTTTGGCAGGGTTGCCTGAAAAAGCAGGTAGGACTGTGCTTTTTTGGTTATATAAACTATCTGCATTTTCTGATGCCTGAAACCTAGAAAGACATTCTGTGACTTGAGACGTTGCTTGCTCTCTGCCTCCTTCTGTTGGTTTAGACTGCAAAAGAGCTATTATCTGTGCTGTGCTCCTGATGTTGTGTGACACTGCCCCGTGACCAGCTCTCTGACTACTAGATGTGGAGTGCCCAGTAATTCGAGGAGATTCTGACTTCACAGTGGACTGGTCAGAGTTTTGCTTCTCTGTCTCCTCATATCTGTCGAGGAACGGAGCTGAAAGCAGGGAGGAGAGAGATAGGTGTTCTGTATCATTATCTGTACGTGCATCTTCATGAAAGCCTGCAGATAGATTTGTTTCTGCATCCTTCTTGCAAATCGTAGAAAATAACGGAGAGGTAACATAAAACTTGGATGGAAAAGAACCTTGACACTGCTTAGATAAAGGCAATATTGTTGGGTTTTCTCCATCTTCCATCGTCGATTTCTTCTTTTCAACTTGGCGTGGCCCTTGGAAACCCTAGGAAAGAAATGTTAAATTGATTCTATTCAGAAATCAGCTTCACGGTTTGTAATCAAGCGTTGAAGACAGAGCACGCTCCGTAAAATATATTCTGATCGAGTAGCACATGGTGATCCCACAGGTGTATAGAATTCATCTTGGGCCCTTGCAATTTTCACTGCAGCCTCAGCAACAGAGATCCTGCTACACCAGATTTAGTAAACTCTGGAAAAAATAGCTACCGGTAGCACGTTCTGGCTTACAGTTCCAAAAAACTAGGAAGACATTATCTATATATTTACCATTCATTAAAAGATGTGCCCTTTATGTTTTAAAATGCATGTTAACATCAGACATCACTTTTGAAACAAAGACATACTGTAAATTTCCTTTTCAAGCCAACAGACAGATGTCTTGGAGGCAGAACACCAGGTTTTACACCATTTCTATCCACTGCCGGAGTTTCTGCTTTCCTCGTCTGATCTTCAACAGATTTCTCATTTGCTTTCACTGCTTCAACTGTGATCAAGTATCTTTCACTTTCTAAATTATCTCCAGTATTCACCTAGAAGAGAAAGAAGCGGTGTGTACGTAATAGTGCTATAAAAGAAACAATAAGTCTTCTAAATAAATATCATCTTCTAAATACTTATACGTAAAAATTTTAGAAATTTACATCCCGTATATCGCAGCTGCCATATAAATACTTAGATTAAAATATACATATACTAGAATGCATTAGCACTTAGCTTCGAGTTACGCTTATCTAATATTTCACTGTGATAAACTGCTTTTACCCAAAAGGAATAAAATTCCAGAAATCCTCTACAACGGTTCCAGAAAAACAATAAGACTTGTGACGACATAGAAGCTGGTTTCGCTTTTGATTATTTGCATTGCAACAGACTTTCATACCCACAATAAGAAAAAGCGCTGCCTTCATTACCAAACAAGTTCGAAATGCTTCTTGAAACACAAACCACAATCATGAGCATAAGAACCAAAAAAACCCTCCCAGCAAAACATACCTGAGATTTTATAAAAAGACTCTCCAAACATTGTCCTTTATCATCAAACAAGATAGCCTACAATGAAAAAAGAGAATTTTAAATAACTAATTTGAGTTCATAGCTCAACTAGATTGCCGCTGACAGACCAGCAGTAGCAGATGATATTAAATCCAACAATATTAAATCTGAGTCGTTCACCTTATTTCCACCAGTTCTAATCCTCAGAATTCCATCTTGCCACGTCTTCGACTTTTTCATTTTTTGGTGAGTGTACAGCACCTGTTTGAAGCATGTAAAATGTTGAAATGATAATAAGTAAGAAAACATTTGAATAATACAGCAGCCATGGTGTCCTTTAATTTATTTCTATTTAATTGTACACAGTGTTAAAAATCACTTACAGTAAATTCTTGAGAAGCCATTGCTGTGGCAAAACAGTCATCCAACAATTTATTTCACAAATATTCACATCTTCATACAGCCTGAGAGACAAGGAAACGTTCAGAATCCCCAGAGTCATGAAGGAAATATATTGGTGGAAAAAAAATAGATGTCAGTCCACTTCCCCCCACCCACCCCCCGCCCAAAAGAGATGCAAGGTAACATTAAAACACTGGGGTATAGCTCATGCGGGCATTTTAAAGAGAAACCTTGAAAATAATCTAACAGAAAGACTACTGATAAAACACGGCTTTTTTGCAGATGCCAACCTGTTTTCTAACTGTCAGGGGAATTCATTCATTTAAATGAACAGCTGGCAACTCTGAAGTCTCCACTGACCATACTGCTATTCAAAAGTGCGGTGACGCTAGACTTGGTCATGCATGTTTAATTCATGTTAAAAAATAACTGACTCTCAGTATCAGTTAGCCGTGAAGTCAAACCTCTTTACATATTTTAAGTCAGACAACAAGAACTTTTACAATAGCCTTTGATGATGAGACCAGGAACAAATCATTATAAAAGCAACTCATCCTCTGAAATTGTGACTTGAGTTAGCCGTGAAGTCAAACCTCTTTACGTATGTAAAGTCAGACAGTTACAGTAGCCTTTGATGATGAAACCAGGAACAAATCATTATAAAATCAACTCATCCTCCAAAATTGTGACTTACTGCTATACATACTGGAATATTCGTTCAGTACTGTCATTTACATCTGTGTTTGGAGTGCTGCGCTTGTGACTTCAATCCGTTAACAGCACTACAATGAAAACAATCATGAGAGACAAGGCAAGATTGTCAGCTCCTCTTATACTCCATATTAGTGAGAAACAGTGCATAATAAAGGAGATATAGAATCGTCTCGGTTGGAAGTGACCTTTAAGATCATCCAGTCCAGTCCAGCCGTCAACCTAACACTGCCAAGCCCACCACTAAACCATGTCCCTCAGCACCGCGTCTGCCCGTCTTTTAAATACCTCCAGGGATGGCAATATATGTATTCACACTGTATCTTACTGTTGCCACCTTCTTGGAAGTCCCCGGGTATGAAACCTGGGAAACGCACACCCTTAAAGGATGCAGAATTACTCTGAAGGGCAGCTGGATGACCACCAACACTTAGAATCATAGAACCGCTGAGGTTGGAAGGGACCTTTAAGATCATCAAGTCCAACCATCAACCTACCCTGACAAAACCACCTCTAAACCATGTCCCTAAGCACCACATCTACCCTTTTGTTAAACACCTCCAGGGATGGAGAATCCACCACCTCCCTGGCCAGCCTGTTCCAATGTCTAATAACCCTTTCAGTGAAAAAATGTTTCCTAATACCCAATCTAAACCTCTTCTGACATAACTTGAACCCGTTTCCTCTCGTCCTGTGGCTTGTCACCAGGGAGAAGAGGTCAGCCCCCACCTCTCTACAACCTCCTTTCAGGTAGTTGTAGAGAGTGATAAGGTGTTCCCTCAG